GGTACCATGGACTGCTAAGAAAATAAACAGATTCATCCTGGAGAGGGTTAAACAAGGCTGCTCCTTGGAGGCAAGGATTCTGAAGCTTCGTCTGACATACTTTAGACATGTTGTAAGGAGGAACAGGTCCTTGGAGAGGGACATCATGCTTGGTAGGGTGGAGGGACAGAGCAGGAGGGGAAGGAAGACCGTATATGAGGTGGATTGATTCAGTGACTTGGGTAATCAGGATGGAAGTGTTGGAGGCAGTGGAATTGGCAGCGGACAGAGCAGAGTTTAGGGCTGCTGTACATAGGGTCGCTATGAGTCGCAAGAGACTCGACAGCACATAACAACATATTATATGGAGAGTTAATTTTTATTTGAAAATTTAATAAGATCAATGCTTATTAATATTAATAGTTTAAATTTTAGTGATGCTCACATTTATACATTTCATTAAATTTCTTAAGTTTCTTACTCAATTCTGAGTCATTTTGGCTTCAGTAGTTTCATAGAAGCAAAAAAGAAGAGGAGAAATTATTTTTAGTTTAACATAAGTGAATTCTGGAAAATGATAGTTTAGTAAACTGTGAAAATCCATAAGCTAATATACTAATATCTCTTTCTTTTTATTTCAGATTCAATTGAGCACTGAAAGAGAACATTGTTTTCATCATGAGTACCAAGAAAGAGAGAAACCTAAAGTCTAATACTCAAGATTTTGACCTTTTTCGTTCCTTAATGATGTTAAGCATGACAGTATTGTTTCTCCCAGTTATTGGAACTTCTAAGCAAAATATTCCAAGACTCAAGCTAACCTACAAAGGTAAAAACTTAAAATATTTTTCAGACTGCTAAGATTTTAGACTTTTTAAAAATCTGCTGTATTTGGTTTGTTTAGAAATGTTTGCAGACTTCAATGAAATACTTGTACTATTGCTATTTGCCAATAAAATATCATTATAGGACATTAAAAAAGAACTATTTAAATGTCAGTGTAAGGGAATTAATACTGTATACCCATTATACTTTAATATGCCGACATAGGGTTGGGATTTTTATCTAAGGTTGTAAATATTTGAAGAGATTTGGTTGTCTATTTGTATATTTGTATACTTGTATACTATTTTTTAAGTACTGCCCTATGTGTAGAAATATTTTATAGAAATGTATTTTTGCAGTGATCAAGAATAAGATTTTTATGTAGGAATACTAAGGTATGTTGACTTGCTAACTTTTGAAAGTCATCTCAGAATAAGCAGAAAATAACCCAACAGAGTGAAACCTGCATAATTGATGGAAGTGTCTCCTTAGTATATACTCCTCTGCCACAAACAATTGTAAACTTGGACACAACTGTTTCAGACACTAGACATCACATAGGAGGAATATGATACTTGAGAGAAGGAAACTACTTGGAAAAAACAGCAAGACTAGCCAGACACAGAAGACTTAAAAGTCAAGCAGAGAGAGTGGAGGTAAAAGAGTGCTGGGAGATACAGAATTCAGAACAGCCAGGGTGAAAAGACCTCAGTGAAAATCTTGGATACTCACTTGAAACCCAAAAGAGTTGTTATGTGTGATGGAGTGAGAACTGACACACAGCTGTCCCACTAGTGTGTATTTAGAGGCTACAATTGCACAGGAATTGCCCATCTTTCCTCAGAGCAGCTTGTGGGTTCAAATTGCATGCATTTGGATTGACATCACACCTTTACATGACATCCTTGCCACATGGCCACCAGTGCTCCCTCATTTTAAAGAGTAGATCTATATCTATTCTTTCTGTATGTTAGCAAATAATTCTCTGTGAAGAGAAATGTGGCATCAGGATTGAAGGAAAATTAATCAACAACCTGTGTTATGCAGAAGACATGACAAAATCTTGTGTGCTTGCTTGGAGAAGGAGGATATGAAATGCTAGCTGCAGGAGATCAAATACTAGAGCCTTCTGTATGGATTATATCTCAACATCAAGAAAACAAAGGTCTTAATGCAGGACCAGCAGTAAACATTTTGATAGATGGAGAAAGTATTGAAGCTGTAAATTACTTTATCTTGCTAGGATCAACAATCAACACCTTTGGTATTGGCAGCCAAGAAATCAAGAAATGTATTGTGTTGGGCAAGTCTATTGTCAAGGACGTTTCCAAAATACTGAAGAACAATGATGTCAGTTTGACTATTAAGGTGCACTTGATTCAGGCCATGGTCTTTTCAATCACCTGCTACTCATCAAAGAGCTGCACAGTAAGTAATGATGAAAGAATAGGAATTGATGCCTTTGGGTTATGGTGCTGGAGAAGAGTGCTGAATATCTCATGGATTACCAAAAGAAGAAATAGAAATGTTTGTCTTGGAAAAAAGTGCAGCCAGAGTGCTCCATGGAGGCAAAGATGGTGAAGATTCATCTCTCATACTTTGGACATGTAGTGAGGCCGGGACATTCCTTGGAAAAGGATATCATGCTTGGAAAGATGGAGGGTCAGGTAAGGAGGGGAAGACCTCCAATGAAATAGATTGACACTGACTTCAGCAAAGAGTTCTAGTGTCTCAGAGATGATGAGGGCAGGATTCATATCCATTGCACATACGATCACACTGAGTTATAGGTGACTCAATCCTATAACAACTATAATCCTACCCTAATGTCAAAAAGACAAAGATTCTAACCACTGGACCAATTGGCAGGATCAGGATGGATGGTGAAGAGATTGAGATTGTTAACAACTTTAGTGTGCTTGGCTTCCACGGTCAACACTCTTGGCACCAGTAGCTAGGAAATCAAAAAAATGTATTGCGATGGGAAAGTCTGCTGTTAGGGACCTCTTCAGGGTACTGAAGAGCAATGTTGTCACTCTGGAGACTAAGGTGCATCTGAGTCAGGCCATGGTCTTTGCAATCACTTGTTATGCATCAGAGAGTTGGACAATGATTAAGGAGGATAGAAGGAGAATTGATGCCTTTGAGTTGTGGTGCTGGATAATAGTATTGAATGTACCATGGACTGCCAAGTATACAAACAGATTCATCCTAGAGAGGGTTAAGCCAGGATGCTCCTTGGAGGCAAGGATTCTGGGGCTTCGTCTGACATACTTTGGACATGTTGTAAGGAGAGACAGGTCTTTAGAGAGGGACATCATGCTGAGTAGAGTAGAGGGACAGCGCAGGAGGGGACGACCCTCTATGAGGTAGATTGATTCAGTGACTGGGGTAATCAGGATGGGTCTGTCAGAGGCAGTAAGATTGGCACAGGATAGAGCATGGTTTAGGACTGTTGTATGTAGGGTCACTATGAGTCGCAAGTGACTCGATGGCACATAACAACAAACAACAACAATGAATTTAAACATAAACTCCAGAAAGAACAAAACTAATCTGTCAGTGGTGCTCTGGTGGCCGAGTGGGAAGGAAATGTACTACCCATCCAAATCAACACTATTCAAATCTACCATTGCTCCTTGGAATGAAGAGGAACAGTCTCCTTCCATGTGATTTACTGTTTCTGAAAACCCACTGGAAAGTCAGCTATGAATCAGTTCCTACCTGATAGTATACGGCAACAACAGTAAGTATATAGCAACAACAGTAATGTGCAAGTTAATTACGTGCTTCCCAGAAAAAATCTTAATCCTTTCCAAAGGACAGGGGGGAAAATTCTCAGTAATGTAGCCTTCACAATGCCCATCCAAAAGGAAATTGGAAGAATATTTTGTGAAAAACAGTGTATCAGAACTTTGTAAATAAATCAGTATAAAATTAAAAATTTGCCAAAAAAATTACTGGACAAGCAAAAAAAAAACAAAAACAAAAAAACACAACAGGAAAAGGTGGCATTAATAAGAAAGCGTACAGTTAACAAAAACCAATCTTAGACTATTTAAATGTTTGTTAGCAGGCACAGTCTTAATGGCAGCAAAAAGTATTTTCAAAGTATATATAGACAATCTCAGCAGAGAAATAGCTATTTAAAAGAAGAGCTAAACAGAAGTTCTAAAAATGGAAGTAAAATGCCTGAAATTGCAATTTCCTCGTTAGCCCTGTCAATAGATTGGAAATACCATACAAGATTTCAATTACTATATAAACAGGAAAAATGACATTAACCAGGTAAAGAATCCTTATACATTTTAATAAATGACAATTTAAAATCAGCTTTTTTAGAACAAAGCCATATCTCCTAAATTATTGTAGAGAAGCTCATATGTTTGTGGCCTTTATTTGAGAAAGATTATCTGTAAGAGTCTTAGAAGCAGTAAGAGAAGAGAGAATCTTAAAAACTAGAGTTTCAAAGTATTTGGATAATTCTCCACTCCCAGGACTAATGGCCTAGTAAGTAAAGAGTTGTACTGCTAAGCCCAAGGCAGGGAGTTCAAATCCACAAGTTGCTCTGTGGGAAGAAGATAAACAGTATCTTCCCATGCAATTTACAGCCTCTGAAAACCTGCTAGAGGGGCAGCTCAGAGTGAGTTCTGACTCCCTGGCAGATAGTTTGAGCCTGTTTGTATTGAGTGAGTGAGTGAGTATGAGTGAGTGGATGGTTACTATAATATAACAATTTCTACTTACAACGTTGCACTTTTAAAGGAGTAACACCTGAGGATTTCTCAAAATTTCAACGGTTCAGGAAATAGGAAAAGCTCTGTTGATTGCTTTTGGCTTGGCTTGTCTAATACACGTGTAGGAAGATGATGGATGGAGCTGGAGGAGTAAAGGTATTGAGCATTAACTGGTTGCCTTCTCTCCTGTAGTCTCAAGGTCTTTCTAATTGATTTCTTCTCGTCAGTAAGAAGGAATGAGATTCTTTTTAACTAGGTCAAGTTCTCAAATAGAAGTGCTCTTGCAAGCAAAGAGAAAGTTATATTAACCTTTCTGACTTGGCTTCCAAAGTTATAGAACATTATTTTCGTTACATATTAAAGGTTGAGCGGTCATAAAAACTTGTTTAGTTTCAAGGGTGGGATTATAAAATTGTACAATCACATTTTTTTTTGTTGTTGTTGATTCGAACATTACTCATAGCGACTCCATGAACAAAAGACCTAATGCCTTTCTATAAGTTTCTCCAAGTTCATAGCATTTTCATAGTGGTTTAGGAAGTGGGTGCCATCCTGCTTCCAAACCTGTCCTACAACTGGGAGCTCCACCAAGCACTGTCCACACTGGTAAGCTATTAATAACCACATTAGAAAATTTTAATATCAATTTGAAGTTCTAGAATAGAAAAAATGAATATAATATTTAGAAAAAGGTCAGAATCATTGCTGCCTTTTGTTGGATTAATGTGAAAAACTGGAAGGGCATGAGAGAAAATGTTCTGGAAAGACGGAAACTTGCCTCTATCTTGATAGGGATGCAGGATAACCAAGTGTGTAAAAATGTCGTAAGTCATCAAATCACATGTATAAGATTCATACATTTCTTTATATAGTATTTTTAAAAAAATTTAAAAGCATCATTAAAAGCAAAACAATTAAAAATAAAGAATATTTGTGAATACTGGGGTTAAGAAAGAAAAGTAACTACCTGATATTTCTGTGATATACTGATTATATCAAACACATTGTACTGTTAAGCGTGGATAGTGCAAAAATTCACATTTGCAAATGAGCTACAGTAATACTTAATAAGCACTGATAATTTATTAGGAGCCAGATATTGCTCTGGAATTATGTATGAGTTACCTCATTTTATCATCAGCACCACTGCATCTATATGGATTTTTTTTCACTCCTTCTTCACATGTTCTAAAATATTGAGTACTTAGCAATTTGCCAAGGTCACAGAGTTAGGCAATGACTCAGTGTCTGTCTCTGCCCTAAACTG